GCTCTTCCTATGAAAACACGTGTTTGTTTTCCACTCCTTACTTGTGTCCATCCCATAAATTCTAAAGTGCTATTAGGCAACACTTAAGAAAACGGTCACAAGAGAAATTATTTAAATTTGTATAATACACATAATCCTTTAGAGCCAAGATCATGGCCTCATCACTGTAGCAAAAGCAGAGCCACAAAAATACTGAATAGGAACACCGGACTTAATGTGACGACTAACAGCAAGAAAGGCATCCAGAAGACACATTGTCCTCTCTCCTAAAGCTAAATTGCAGGATTTTCCATCAACTGGAATTCATTAATTAACTGGATTATTAAAAAAAAAATCAGTGTGATTAATTTTCACAAGGAAAATGCTGAGATTAGATGTGTTGACTATTTATGTTCATCTATTTTGGAAACAGTATAAGAAGCAAGACCATAATGATTTGCAACTAGCAGAGGAGAGAAAATTACATTCACGATTTAAAATTTTGCAACAAGAATTGGTCAATCTACCCCCTAAGCTGCACTAAAGCTGTTTCTCAGCCCTAGACATCACCCATATTGCTACAAGGAGAAAGAAATAAAATTTATGTACATAAAGGGAATTGCAGTAAACACATAGAATAGAGAAGAATGGTTACAAATATTCTAGCAATCATCAAAAGGAAACACTGTAAGACAGAAAAAGAGATAGGGGACAACAGTAACTTAACAGGAAAATTTTGAGTAGTTGTTCCAAGCGGTGTCCACAGAGAGCTGCTATTAACTCTGTGCAGGCCCTCTGTGTTCCCAGCTGCTAAGTTCACATTGGAAGAAGCTAGAAATACATGAAATACTTTCCAAATATTACTTTCCCATGTAAGCAACTGGTATAAGTTGCCACAAAGATGTTGTTCTCTGGCCAGTGAGAAATAGCGCACAGCACTGACAACAGGAGACATATTCTATGAAATCTATTGTCTTTGACAAGACACAACCCAAAGCACAGAAAGTTTGGGAAGGCTACAAGAATTCCTGACTATTCCCATACTTTCCAGCAACACAATATATAATAAGAGGTCATTAAAGCCAAGAGTTTACTACATCTGAGAAAAGGTATAGCCTGTATTCAGAATTGTACTATGTGCAGCAGAATTTCTAGCAATCAAGTCTTAGTGTTTCAATGAATAGGAGAGGTTACCTCAGGAAGGGAAAAAAAAAAAAGAAAAAAAAAAAGTATCTCTACAATTTGGCTGTTTTGTTGCCTCACATACTAAAATCAGACAATACTGTACATTTAAAATACAAAAGGTAGCTGCTCAGCATTCATGACTCTCCTCGATAATACAGCTTTGTACTACAGTAAAAGGGGAAATACATACCAGAAAACATCCAATTATTTCTGTTAAAAGTGAAGTAAAACAGATTTCTTGCAACATACACCCCTCTGAAAATAGCACTGATTACAGTGCTCATCTCCCCCCTCCTCCCGACTTGGCTTCTTGACACTTAATATTCTGGCTGTGGGGAAAAGATCAGAAGTTTATGAAGTCAGTTTGAGTCTTTCCATTGCTCTGAATGCAAGCCACAGAATTTGGAATACAATGATACCTTGCAAACCAGATAACAACTTCTTATAATATTAAATCCACTTTTACAGCCCAGTGTGGCAGGTTTTTTTTTTTAATTATTATTATTTTTATTAAGAAACTCTGAATTTCCCAACTTTCCACAGTTTGGGAAGAAGCTTCAAGTTGCAATACTGATCATCCTGCAGCTACAAAGTGTTAAATGTCAGCAAAACAGTTTTTCTGCCAGGCAAGGAGATTATGTAGGCTGTTCTCTCTGTGGGGATCAGTGGGGCAAGAGCTGAAACTGCAGCTGCTGCAGAAACAGCAGCTTCCCTGGAGCCCAGCGCGCCATGAGGGGCTGCTGTTACGACAGGCTCTTCCATTTTGCCTCTTCCCGGGATGGGACAAATGTGACCTTCAGCCTGCTGCAGTTATCTAGACATCCTGCAACATTTTTGCAATATTCTACCCAAGTTCCAGCTTGATTAAATATCTTGCCTGTTACAGTCCCTAAAAAAACTACTAAAGATAGTATTCTTGAGGATTAGCAGTTGTACAGTTGTCCTCCACATTATTTGGCATTTACATTCCAGATTAATCACGATTGGGTAACACGAATGTGATCAATTTTACACGTACAACCTCCCACTGAGATAGAAGATGATGCAGAGCGAAGGTGGACTGCGAATGCAACCACTTTAAGGAGCCTATGTCAGTAAGGAATTTATCTTGATAAAATAGGAGTTTTGTGTAAAAAAACAAACAAAAAAAAAACCCAAAAATCAATTCTTCTGGGCAAATTACAGGTATATACTGTATCAAAACTTAGTTCTCTTCATTATGCTGAAGAATCATGTCTGGCCAATTATTTTGTAATGTTTAACTATAATACAAAATAAATGAAGTTCAAATGAAAACATTGTTTAGACTATGTCAACAGGGCATAAAACTAAATGAAGTGATTCCTTATTGTCTATAAAAATATATTTATTAAGAGTAAAGTTATTAATGTTATCTATCAAGATCACAACATGAAGTAAGTTTGTATCTTAAGAAGTGTGCTAAAGCAACAGATACATGAAGTTAAAGGTATTTTTTTGATTTTGCAAAACAGCATCATGTGGTGCATCTCATTGATATTTTTTTCATTAGTGTAAATAGTTCAAAAGAATAGAAAAACTCCAGTTCACTCTTTCTTTTATTGCAAGTCTCCAAGAGGCTTTCCACTAAGCCAGCCAATGCTCACTTTACATTTGCTAGTAAAAGAAAAGCAAACAACAGTATCCTATATACTGAAACAACTGCTTTGTTACAAATGGAAGGATTCAAAAACTAAAACAAATGACTGCTTTAAAAATGAAGCCTTTTACACTCAATTCAAAGACTTTGGCATTCTCCTACAACATACTAAAGTTTCACATTCATCTCCGCAAATCAATCCACTAATAGGCATCCGTCATCAACACCTAAGTAAAGATCTGCCATTTGAAACTGCTTTGACGTGATTGAAGACTCACACACAGTCGTAAGTATGACAGAAGAGCTTAGCTATTAAAATGTTTTATCTAGCAAAGAACTGCTCATCCTAATTGACTGAAATACTCTTTGAACACTATTATTGCAAGGCTACTTCACTACATGGTGCTTTAGTACATAACCACTTGACTTATATCTAGAGATCCAGCACAACCACATCAAACCTTGTTAGAATATTCTCTCACACATATTTTTGTCAACAGACCAAACAATAAAGCTGACTGTCATTTTTACTACCAGTTACTTAGTTAATTTGATACTGAAACAGACTGGGATTCATTATAAAAGCTACATGCAATCAGCTATTTCTATCAATCTTTCTTTTTAGTGCACTAATAGAATGAATCCTACTAACCACATCAGTTGAGATCAGTTGGCAGACCTGCACAGCAGCTATTCCTCTGCGTTCACTCTGACCTCTCACCGCGAGAGGTACCATTGCAGGGGCTCCTTTAAGCAGCACTGCACAACCCTGGCGTCGCTCCAACACCGACCATATGTCAAGCTGACAGACCACAACCCTGGGACAGCCACCCAGAAGCAGCTGTGTAAGGCCCGGGCCACAAGGTAGCAAGGCTTCCTAGGCCTATGCCATGATTCACTTCAAAGCAAATTTTAAAACATCACGAGCGAACACACCTGACAAAAAAACGCAGCACAAAAGGAATAATTTCCCAAGCATACAGGATGGTACACTCCATTCCAGTAAGTTTGCTCTCAATGTAATTGATCACCAAAAATACACTCAGAAGATGAATAACAGTTTGTTCCATTAACATTTTTCTTTCTCAGTTATATTAACAGCATGTTAACAATTTACAAGAAAAAGGAATCAAGCATAAACCAGTAACTGCCACCAAGATTACACTTTGTAGTATCAAACAAAACACTACTGATTTAACATCTCGAGTTGAAGGATGAATTGATTTTTACCATGTATCTATTAACACATCATATATTTCTGTACTGTTTTTACTATTACTTTTGTTATCAAAAGTATACCATATCAATTCTTGTACATAGGCAAAGATGCTACCTAACAGCTTTTATTCCAAAATCACTAATTAGTACAAAAGAATAGTGAAAATTTACCCAGTCCTCTACGTAATTTCTCTAAGTACTCCAAATTTTTAAAAAAATCCATATGCACTTACCTACAGTTTGGAGGAGGATCTAATGTGATTTCTGCAAGTTCTTTCTGAATTCTTAGGAGGAAAGAAAAAAATAGAAGTTATCAGGATTATTTCTTTCACAATACGTTTCCTTCAACTTTATGAAATATTTCTACAGCAATCAATAACAGTAAAAGATAATTTTCATTTGCAATGGAAACCTGATGCTAAAGTTGCATGCAACTGTTCAAAAAAATGTTGGACTAAACTCAAGTTCTAAAATCCTGTCTGAAAAATGAGCCTCCAATCTAGAACAAGTTGTTCCATGATCAACCATCAAATAAAGCCTGAGATTTTTTTTTTTTTTTAAGTCAGGGTTCTAAGTTCCTTTGCTCACTTACACACTCATTGTTTCACACACCCTCCTCTATTCCTTCTCCGCCCATATGCCCCAGGCTCTTCGCTTTGTTCTCCAGAATTCTTTGTTTCTTACAACCCTTTACATGGGGCAGCATAAAAAAATAAATAAACCACCTCACTGAATTATAGAGCAATTTGGGCAGAAGGGAAGCCAGGAAAGCTCCAGTCCAATGCCCTGCTCAAAGCAGAATGTGCTACAAGATCAGACCAGTTTGCTGAGGGATTTATCCAGTCATATCATGGAAATCCTCCACAACTCTCTGGACAGCCTCCCTGACTGTCCTTGCAGTAAAAATATTTCCTTCTCTTCAGCCAGAACTTTCCTTGTTTCAGTTTATGCCAGGTGTCTCTCAGCCTCCATTCATGCACTCATGTGCACCTTCCCAGTAACCTCCTCTAAGGTCTGCTGTCAGCTGTGCCCACCAGGCTAGACAGCCCCTGCTCCCTCCAGCGAGTGCCCCGGTCCCCTGGGCAGCACGGGGGCCCTCCCCTGGGCTTCCTCCAGATTAGAACCTTCTTGTGTGGAGGGCGCCAGAACTAGATACACTGTTCCAGATGTGCCCTAATGAGTGCTGAGCAAAGGGAGATAATCACTTTCCTCTGTTTACTGACTGTGCTCCTGCTAATGGAGCTCGGGATGCAGGCGGCCTTCCCTGCTGCCAGGGCGCATCGCTGGCCACGCTCAGCTCAGCTCAGCTCAGCTCGGCTCGCTGCCTGCCAAGACCCCCGCGTCCTTCGGGGCGGATCTGCTCCGCAGCCAGGCGGGCCCCTGGCTCTGTGCGTACAAGTGGGTATTCCTTCCCAAGCGCTGGACTTGGCGCTTGCTGAATTTTAGGCAGTCCTTGTCAACCCCTTCTTGCAGCCTGTCTAGGTCCTCCCAAATGATAGCCCTGTCCTTGCACCTACAGCCTGTTGGCATCTACAAACATGGTAAAAGGGCACTCGGTCACATCCTCCAGGTCGCTGATACAGATGTCAAACTGGACAGGCCCATTACAGACTCCTGCAATGCTCCACTTGTTATAAGCGTCCTCACAGTTACTCTGCCTGGAGGTAGAGCTCTTAAGTTGCTAAAATATCTTTTGGACCTTCCAAAGCTTATGCTCCTAGGCCAAGCAGTGGGATCCCTGCCCTCTGTCATATCTGGCAATACAGGCTCTTTTCCTTCGTACCAACACCTGCACAAAAGTCAGCACCTCCCCCTCCAAGGAAATTTGAACATGCAGAGGAAGAGTTTAAAAATGAAATATTCCCAGAAGCTGCCAAAATATGATGCCATAAGCACAAGCATTGTGGCCACATTCCCAACCAACCTTACGGTGCCCAAGGCTTTATTTTAGGCTAACTCAGTGCAAGAACAACATCTGGGAACAGAGAGGAAATAAAAAAGATTTGACATATCCTCAATATTTTCTCCTCTGCCCCTCTCCTGCACAAGATTTCACGTATGGGAACAGATTACTATTCCTTTTATTCCCTACCCTAAGAAAGAAAACCTGCATAATAACAGAGCTCAAATTCCTAGGACAGATGCTAAAGCCACAGCCCAAGAGCTCAGACCCAGCCTCAGGCACACACATATCTTGCTAAAAACAACTGCCCCCTACTTTGCATGTACATACAGGCATAAAAATTGGTATATCAAAATAAACATTCAGAGGTATTGGCACACATAACAAAAATGAGCAGTTTAATTTTCCATGTAATGTTAAGATCCAAATACAAATTTGTCCACTAAAGAGTCTCACAGCCACTATCAAAATTCTCCTTCTGCCACTACAAGTTGATTTTATGGCTGTAATGAATAAATGAATGAAAGGTAGAACAGGAATGGGACCAAACAAGAAATTCCACTACTTTATCCTTTTTAATCTGGAAAATAATTTTCAGGGAGAGATAAAGATTACTAATAAAAGATTACTTTTATTAGTCCAACTGATGCGACTGAAAAGATAAAAAAGATCTTTCAGACATTTTTCTTTTCTTCCAACTTCTATCTGCCCTGAATATGTATATATATATTCATACAGAGGGGCAGAAATTCAGTGTTTATTTGCTTATTTTATTCATTGAAATATTTACATTTCCAGTAAACTTTTTTTTTTTTTTGGACATACTGCTTAATGAAGCCTAAGCATAACAAACATTATGGTCAAAACCAACCAAACAAACAAAAAACCCTCAATTTAAAAAACCCTAATAATTTTTCTCTTTTAAAAAGAGGATTTTAGAATGTAGGAGATGCTTAAAATATTTCTTCCTTCCATGACAAAGTAAAACTGTGATTTTCAAATGTATGCTATCACAAACTCAAAGTAGAAGAAAAGCTAACATGGAATCTCCTTCAATTTCATGGTTTACAGGTTAGCTTGCTTGTTCCACTTCTTGAGAAGTTACAGAATGATGACATTGATATTCTATAGAGTCATGGATTACTCCTTAGCTTTAAGCTCTACATATAATAATAAAAGCCGTTAATATTTCATTACAGTACAATGAGTCTGAGACATATCAAGAATGGATTGGCAATAAATGTAGCTTAAGTCCTAGATCAAAACCCTTCCTTTCTTCCTTCTAAATCCTCCTCCCTTCCCTCCCGCTTCCTTTTCGGGATTGAAAAGGTTCTAGATAGAGCTTTTCCTGGGACTGAGTAGACAGGAAAGCAAAACACCTTTCTGCTTTAAATGATAAAAATTAATTCTCTCTTACTTTGTATTTGTATTCAAGCAGGCATCCAATATATAGATGTTTCATTCACAATTATTTTTACACAAACAAGCTAAAACATATTAATATATCAATCACTTGCTCCTCAGTAAGCTGCCCATGTTCCTTCTCCTAGTCTTCCCAAACGGAAGGCGATTCGTACGCCTTCCTCCTGTTTCATTAAGAGGTAAGCTGCTTTTGTTCACCTTGTATTCACACCGTGAGCACATGCAGAAACCGTTTCTGCCGAGCAGCTGACATGCAATAGCTTGCTCACATGTCACAGCACTCAAAGTGACAGTTAAATCACCAAATAACACCGCAGAGAGCCTTGCAGTGATAGACGCTCCCCAAGCGCGAGCTGGCCTTGCTCCGAAGGAGCTACCCCACGGCCGCGACGCCCGCTGCGGTCCCCACGGAGCTCCCTCGGAGCCGCCGCGGCGCGGGACGGGACGGGCCTCGCTTCCCGCTGCGGCCACGGAGCGCCCACCGCGACGCGCACGCGGGGCCGCTGCCAGCAAACATTTCTTGTAGGGCCCTTTTTCTACGGGTTTTCTGGCTCGGTACAGCCACTTTTAGTTATGTTGGGGAGTAAAAGCGACTCTATTTTTTTATTCATGTTATACTTAAACTAATGATACACTGGCTCACTACATTATTATTGGGGAGAGAAGGGAGGAAGAAATATTCTCTGGTAATCAAAGCCCTGGGCTGTACACACAGGACATTTAATTTGCAATGTCAGGTCTGATGCTCTTTGTTTAGTCTTAGAGAAGACATTTGACCTCTCTCTCGCTCCCTCCCTCTCTCCCTTACTCTCTTTTACTAATGGGAATGAACAAACATATTTGCCTTCTAGTAAAAGTGTAAAGGTTAATCTGTTCCTAAATTCTGAAGCACAGAAGTACATTGTGAGTTTCAAACGTTACTAATTCGCACAGGCACATGTTTACCACTGTTCCAAGCCTAGGGGTTGTGTCTGTTGTTTCTCCATGGAATAGTTAAGGGTCCCTAAAGCTAAGGGAGAACTGAATGTGTTAAGAGGATTTTCTAGTATAATTAAGAGGAAAAAAACCCAAAAATATTCTTTCACAATAAGCCAATTTTACAATATTTGCTTTTCTAAAATAGTGCCTCTTTACCCCCAATATTTTATAAATAACAAATTCTTCAATAAGTGGTACATATTTCAACCTTACATAGACTGTTACTGTGCAGGAAATCAATTGAAAGACGGTTAGATTTATGCTGAGGAAGATAAATATTCTCCTTTAATATTAGATGCACATATAAGTGACAGGGATATTTTTGAAAAGAAAAGAAAAAAAAAAGTCCATATTATCCTGTCATATTTAACACATATCTAACAATAATTACCAGATTCTTTAGAAATAGTGCTATGATAACCTCCTCCAAGGGAAAAAAAAATAGTAATATCTCAATTTTATATTCCTAGATTTCTAACAAATTAAATTCACTATTTAGCCGCTACTCCACAGATTACGATTTCAGTTAACGAAAAAAAAAAAAAAGAGAGAGAGAGAGAGAAGACAATCCAGGCCTAGACCCAAAGGTTGATAGATTTTAAACTACCAACATCAGGAGTCCAGGAAAACAATACATCTATTTGTTGAGCTCCTATGCTAGCCAAGAATGGTTACACTTCTCTCAATTCAAAGGTCAGGCTAAGATTTGCTACTTAAAAGGTAACAAGACGCCTGCTGTTTTCAAGGACAGCAATTCAATTCCATGTCTGAACTGTAATTGTGATATGCACTGAGTTTCTCAATCTTGACATGTTAGGTAAGAAAGGTTGCTATTTAAGGTGATGCCCTCTGGGTGAGGAAAAATGAAGGACTGGTACACTGTATGACATATGCTGTAAGCTATTACACCTGTAAGCTGCTCTCCCTCGTAGCATTAGCACAGAGGAACTGCACATGAAAGCATTTTGCCCTCTAAAAAAAAAACTATTTTAAAAGCAATTCATTGCTACTTATTCACATATTAATTCAAGTGTGTTCATATACCTTTCCATAGTCAAATCATTTTGCAAAGCGTTAAGTGGCAGAAGCATTATATACATGACTGAAGATATAAACAAGATACAGAAGTGTACTTCGACACAAGCAAAAATGAGTACACTGTTAAATCCTGATTTGCTAAAAAACAGCATTAATGAAGATTCTTTAAAAGTAAATCTTACTAATTGACTATAAAGCATACAACAACAACAACAAAAACAGGAAAGGGTATTCCACCTACAAATGTACAGCTCTTAATTCTAATCCAAGTTATTCACTATGCAGCTTTAACATAAACAAAAAGTACTGTGGCATCCAAACTCAGGTTAGAATCAAATCTTCAGTCCGAATGCCCCAGAGAAAGATTTAGCTCCAGCACTACATTACCTTAGTGGCATTATCTGTTCTAAAGATAAACAAGGGCATCTTGACCAACGTCTCACATATCATATACTGTCTTGTTACAGATTTTTGCAGAGTTGACTCGCCTAACTGTAACAGAGTTATCAGAAGCCACAGCAAAGTGAAACACTTTGTTAAATGAAGATTATAGGGATTTTACAGTAATGCCATACAAAGTCACAGAATTCAACAGCTCATAGAGTAAAAACTTGCCAAATGTATAATCAAGTTTTTCACTTAGAAAAGACGAATTATTTCAAATTGTTTCAGCTAAAAAGAACATTTCTAACTTGGTTAACAGCATTCCTAATGAAGGACTACAGCCTTATTCCTGAAACAGACATAATTTCTAACAAGACAAGCAAACAAACAAACAAAAGGGCATGACAGAAAAAAACTCTCTATGAAATAATCTTCAGAAACTTAGTCCTCAATACATAATAATACTTTTTTTTTCACTTGATATTAGTCCTCTCCATTTAATCCTAAACTTTGCTTTCAGGGTTTTATTTTCTTAAGGCATTACTGCTTCTAACTGAAAAAAGAATATACCTAAAAAACAAAGTCAACTGTAATAAAAACCTAGTCAGATTAAGTATGACTATAAAAATGTCATCCTAACTCTAACAACTTAATACTGACTTTAAATGGAATGTAAAAAAACATATTATCGTGATTTTTCTATGAGTAGTGCTATGAATAATGCTATGACAATCAGTGCTCCTAAAATGCGTTTTTCAAAAATATTATTTACAGTGTACATATCTAGAGCACTCTTAAAATACTTTTAACTAATCTCAATTTTTAAATGCATAATGATAGTCTTTTATGTAATATTAGTACATACTTGTACACCCTTGTTTGAGAGTCTGACAAATGTACTGTTGTCAGCAACTGGCATAATTTGTTTCAGCAGAACCATAAGCAGATATGATTAAATTTTAAAAGGTTTAAGTAATTTTATCACTGCAAAATGCATGTTGATAAAAGCCCTAAGCTTTGAAGACACAAAGCTAAGATTAATAGACTAATTTCTGACATATCGTTATTAATTTTTTAATAGGATAGTGTCTACAGGCCCTCGCAGAATTGTGGCATCATTATACAAAGTTCACAACACATGGACTCTTTTCTAAAGACGGTAAAAACAGGACTCCATGGTCTTAGGAATATTTAACTATGTAGGATTTATAGTGCTAAAATACATATCTATCAGGAAGCAGAGGAAAGAGAACAGAGTCAGAAATGATAATGACTACAAGGACTAATTATGTGCACAACTTCATGGCTTGAAGTTGGGATTTTTGTTCTTTTTAGTCATAAAAACAAATATTGTCAAAATCTGCTGGACATCCTGTAACTGATCTGACTAGCCAGTCTGCTAGTAGTGTCATAGTAGGGATTCTTCCTGAGAAAGCATTTTACTGTGGGAGGGGAGGAAATAAATAAATAAATAAAGGCTTACACAGGCAAGCTATTAGGAAGGTGTCGATGACAAAAGAAAAGTATGATGACCCCCTCAGTGGAAACGGAAAGAGTATTCAGGACAGAAAAAAAAATGTAAATGGTAGGATTAATCCAAGATTAAAAAAAATAATAATCTTGAAAAGATGCATGTATGCATACTTATGCTGGTATTTACAGCCTTCTACCATGTGCATATGTTATAAATTATGGCAATAAGATCTTAATCCTCCTCCTTTATCATAATGACATACTCGCACAACTCCTGTGGTTTCCCCGACTCCCGTGGTCAGTTTACACTGACTTAAGATCCAGGAATTCTACATAAGGACAGTCTGCAGAACTGGGCTCGGGTCAGATTCTTTTGAAAGTATACTTTAACTACATTCTTTATAATACCATTTAAATTCTGCTGCCTAGACTAATACCACGGTCCTGATAGAGCAGTGAGGTGAGTGTTGCTCTATCTGTCCAGTCTGAGCATGACAATCCTTATCTCGAGATTGGCATGAGAGTATAGAATAATTTAAATAGCTTTTCTCCAAATCTACTTTTTCTCTCCAGTAGAAAAAAGGAGGAAAAAAATGGATAGGTAAACAGACCACAGTTTAAAGTAATGAAATCAACACATAGTTGTTGTTCACACAAATATTTCAGACTTGACCATCTGGGAAAGAGAAATGCAGTACTTTACATATAGCAATAGGTACTACAGGAGCCTCTTAACATGCTGAGTTACTGAACTGTCTGAGATGTTTATGGTTAATTAACTGTAAGTTACACTGACAAGTTTCAACATCAGTCATACATAAACATACAGAGATATATTTTATAAGGCTACAAAACTGTCTGAGTTTTACTAGCAATAAAAAAATGTCAGCTTTTATCATGCAAGCTACTATTAAAACCATGTGAAAGAGAGCCAATCCGTCAAAGTATGGAAAAAAGGACACAGGTCTCATTACTGTGACTAGCCTCCAAAGACTATTTGGCTGATATAACTGTGTTGTAATAAAACAATAAGAACATGAATATAGTAAATCAATACACACATCTGATGGCCAGCCGAAAAATGAGAGAGGGAAAAAAAAGCAACTGGAAAGAACACCCTACCTTTTAGCACTAGTTGACAGTTTAGCAGCTGTTTTGCTTGATATTTTGCCCTCTTTTTTCTTGGGTTGAACCTGCTCCCTTTCTTGTTCCTGCTGAACACCTTCACGCTGATCTCCATCAGAGCTGCCTCCACTAGTGCTTGGACTATCATCAACTCTCTGCCCCTCCGTAGACATGGCAGATGCTGAACTAAACAGAAACAAAAAAGAGAAGTTAAAGCTTTTTCAGAAGAAACTGCCTGATAATATTTCATATTTCTTAAGGAAATAAAGCAACAATTTTGTTTAATTAACAGAGCAAAATAAAGAAAATAAATAAAGCCATAAAGCAAAAACATGAAATAAGACTATTACATCTCTATGCCACCAGTTCAAATTAAAAACGGCTTGTTAAAAACTGAGCTATTACTGTCTTAAGACTCTCTGTTATCCCATATGAAATAAATCTACGGGCTCTTTCCAAGTGTATCGTGCGGGTTTCCACATTACAAAATTCACATGTCATTTGGCATGCTTGATGGAAACATTCATAGAACCAAACAGTACAAACACAGAACTCTGTGTTTTTATTAAAACAGCACACCTCTACGATGGTAAATACATTGGTAGAGGATATAAGGAATTTTTCTTTCAATTAAATCCGTTCAAGTGACATCAGGCAACAAAGCTGTCAAAGAACACCAGCTACAAGACTCTTCATTATGTTTCATAAGTCAAGCTGATACATTTTTGCACACTTCTGATACTAGTTAGCTACTGTCATTTATTACTTAAAAATGAATGAAAGAATAATATGCCGACAGAAGAATTACAAGTGCACTGTTACAGCTGTCATAACTTCTCTAACTATTCTAATAAAAGGCAAGTGTCCATGAAAAACTCCTTATAAATTTGCAAATGTAATGGCAAGGACTGTTTGAAAAAAAAATTATTAAAAGCAGAAAGTCTCTTCTTTAACTCCAAATCTATAGCTCATATAAATATGTCCTTCTTCAGATACATTAATAGCAGAGCCGCCTTCACAGCACACAGGCCCAAATGTTCCTTGCTTACATGCAACCCCCATGTATCTGGGCGGTCTTCTGATAGAATCCATCCAAATCAGTAAGAGTTTTAAATTGCTGTTAACTTCAACTCACTTATCCTTTTATTTAACCACATTCATTTACTGGATTAGGTTGATCTCTCTGCACATATTTATGAAAAGAGACAGCAAAGGAAAAGGAAAATCACAACAGTGTCAATGAGGTTATGTTAAAAAAAAAACATACTTTCAAAAGGCCACTTTTTAAAAAGGCCATAATCTGTCTCACTAGAATTACATATAAGAAAAATAAATGCATGTAATAATAATAATAAAAAAACCCCACACTTCGGAATGGAAGAATCAATCTTTTCAGGCATTAGTCACGCAACTCAAACCAACTGACCTGAGTAGGAACTAAATCTTTTTTGTCTAATTGAGGCTACACAGAAAGAAAAAGAAAATCTGCAAGTATGAAATGCATTTAAAATATTTAAAAAGTATAAAAAATAGCAAGTGATGGATGTGGAAAGAGGTTACTCTCAAGTAGCTTAAGCTACATTTGGGGGTTCTTTTAAAAACTCATAAATATATATTCATATATAAAAACATAACACCTAGGCCATTGCATGAATGGAAATAAAGCATAGTTTGATTTGTAAAATTAAAGTATAAAATTGCTTATTCTTGATGGGACAACATAGCTACAACAATATATTTACCATAATTCACATCTTCTATATTTACATCCTCCTTATCAAATGTTAAGATACATGAAAAAGAAGACTTAAGAGACAATAGAAGACAAAAGTACCATACTCTGAATATAAAATATGAAAAATATAAATTCAATAATTAAAAATAGAATGGAATAACTACAAAGCAAATTGGAAAGCAGGTACCTGCTTTATTTGCTTCTATATACAGTTAAAATACAACTTGATCTCTTTTTTTTTTTTTCCTTATGGTCTTTAGTTACTCCAGATTTTAATTCTGATCTTTTGTTAGCACGTCTAATTTTAAACAGAAGATCCTCTTTACAACGTACCTATTACTTAGCACTGGTGGCCAGAAAGTTAAAAGCATATTAATGAAGCCTATATACATAGACATCTGCTGTGAATAACCTTGGCTATAAATATTACTATTATCCCAAAACAACTGTATTCACTTCATAAGTTCAGGTTACTATCCAGCAGATAAATACTGTAACAGTAGCCCAGAGCATATAATTACTGTAACATGTAATGCCAGCATTTACATCAGGAAAGGGCTTAAATCTGTCATTTGATGGCTGCCTAGTTTCTTATTCTTTCTGTCTCACAGCTTTGTGTGTCTCTCTCTGGTCCCCTTTCTGACACCCAGAGCCAGTTCTTTCCATGCCCTTCCCTCCTAACGCTGGCAATTTTACCTATTTTGCCCAGTTCAAGGGACGTTCAATACTGCGACAGAAGTGTGCTTTAAAAGTCCTCGAGCCAGGCACTTCAAATGTGGTCAAACTTAGAAAACAAGCACATGAACAAATAAAAGAATGGAAAAAAATAATCAACCGGGGAATGACACTGTCGGAAAACATTTCCATGCAATCAACACAGACAAATGTGAGATACTTCTTGACTCCAGACAGCCATAAGTGCGTTTGCAACTGTCACATAGCGTAAAAAGAGAGACATGACGTCCAGCTCCCCGGGCTGCGCTGCATCCGCGCGAGGGTTTTTAACCTTCCTGCCCACGCGCTGAGAAAACTGGGGGGCGAGTGGGAAGGGGACTTAAAAGTCCTTCCCTTAACACGAGATGATTCAGCATCGACGCGGACGACAACTGTAAGGAGACTGTAAATTTTAAGTGAAGAGCATCCAAGAGATCCTGCTACTGTCATACGTATGTATGTGTGTGTATATATTTATATATATCCACTGGCACCCTCCCTTCTCAAAAGAAAAGAAAAATAAATAAATAAAAGAAGAAGAAAAGCCAGGCAAAGAGAGATCCTGGCAGCGCAGACGGGTCCCAAGGGCAGCAGCGCCAGAGATGATGTCTTTCCGAAGCGGTCTTAATTTCCGACGAGCGCAGATAAACTGGGTATTTGTGCGGGTCCGCCCGCGAGGAGCGGCGGCCTCGCGCCAGCCCCCGCGCAGCCCGTGCCGGGCACAGGGGACCCGGGGCCGCGCGGGGACCACGGAGGGGACCGGCCCGGGGG